ATATATACATATAGATATACATATATATATACACATATGTATACATATACATATATATATATATAATATATATATATATCATCCCAATGCTAGTATGACTTGATTTGCTGCAGCGGAACACATTGCCGCCGAGCTCAAGCTCGACATCGAAGCCCTACAAAACCGCCCAGCTCCACACTCTAAACCCTAACCCCAAATTTTAAACCCTATAAACCAGGACCCCCTCAAGGGCCCTTTAGTAGAGCCCTTATGGTCCTGTATAGTGGGTATTTAGGGTATATTAGAGGGTAGTTGGGGGTCTAGGAACCCTCTAAACCTAAACCCGGAAAACCTAAAACGAGGCTACTAATGGTCCTGGGAGGAAGTGTTTGGGACTCCATGAACCGGGTCCACTCCACGCCTTTTCAGCGAGGCATTGTAGAATTACACATTGGGTGTTTTTTTTTTACTTTTCGTGGAGGCGATCGGGATTTGGGAGGCTCTTGGATTTCGTCGGTTTTGGTTGTGGGTTTTAGAATCCCAAAGGAACCCATATAGTAGAATGTAGGGTTTCTATATTGGGAAAAATATTCTGATTTGGGAAGTATCCCCCATAACAGTACTTAGGAGCCTTTGGGAATATATTTAAGCGCCGAGGGTTGGGCGTTCTGGGTCCAAGGATGTGCTGGCAGGGTGGCGGCTGTGGGGCGTAGGAGTGTAGCGTGTATTTCCAGAAGGGTTGAGCTGGACAGGGGCTGAAAAAGTAGACGTTAAATATCAGCATAGGCATTAACACATGCATCTCCACAGTGTTATCGGCATGGAATTCACAGCGCAAGGACTTGCCAAGGAGAGTTGTGCTCAAGATCCAGCTAGCCACACCTGCAACTGCATAGCACTTGTAGCAGGCCTCCGAGCAACTTGTCCTCCATAGTGAACGTGGTACCCTTGCACGAATGAATGTTCTAGCTGCTTCCTAGGAATTAGTATCGTAACCAAACATTGACAACCGTCTTCATGTACCCCTAAGTCCTGTGGTAACAGAAAACCATCAAAACAGAGTAAACACGTGTCAGACCCGGGATCCCCCTAAACCCTCTGCACATTCTACACCCTGAACCCTAGGTTTCCGAAATCCTACCCTACAACCATTAAGCCACCCCTATAGACCGCATCCGAAACCTCTTAACCCTACAATCCCGAAACCTAGAAAAACCCTGAACCCTAAACCCGTAAAAGCCCCTAGACCGTGTCTTTCCGGGCGGCATACATCCTAGCCGCCCCAAGCCCGACATCCATCATATAGAGCCTTTACAAGAACCTTGGAAAACAGACCCATGAAACATTGCCATGCCAGGCGCATACATGTGTACCGCCAGGACGATGCGATCCCGGGGTACGTCCCAGGCTTCCCAAGGGGGAGTCGGCAGCAACATGTCCTTCTTTACGTGCTTTGGGGCCTAGGGTTTAGGGTTTCAGTTTGGGGTTAGGATTTGAATATACCACAACATATGAAAGTCAAAACGAAAACATAAATGTCATGTGATATTACACCTAAACTAGGCCCTAAGCCCTAAACCCTAAACCTCTAGGCCCTAAGCCCTAAACCCTAAACAACATAAAGAAACCGGTTCAGGATGTGAGAAGCTCTGGGTCCTGCCACCCTCAAGTCGACCATGGGGTTTAGGCTTGGCATTAGGGCATTAGGCCTTAAGGTTTAGGGTTGCTGATATAAGGGACGAGTTTCGGGGTTGAGGTTTAGGGTTGCTGATATAAAAAAGAGTTTAGGGTTTAAGGTTGGGGGTTGCTGATATAAAGAAAGAGTTTAGGGTTTAAGGTTTAGGGCTGCTGATTATATAGAGAGTTTAGGGCTTATTTTGAGGTTTTGGGTTTCTGAGTAGACTCTAAGGTTTAGGGTGCGGGGCTTTGCGTCGCCTTACCACCGGGCCTCCAGCTTGAAACAATAGGAGTTAGGCTAAGGGGGTAGGGCTTAGGGATTTAGGGATTTAGGGTTTAGAGTTTAGGAGTTAGGATGCAGACCCTCTCAATAAGGTCCCTTTTAAGAGAGCCATAAGTAGGTCTTCCTAAGACTTCCTAGGAAACAAGACCAAGCAGCTGGCAAAAGTCTCGGGTCTTACACTCCAGGGTTCAGGGTTTAGGGGTTCGGGGTTTAGGATTTAGTTTGGGGTTTGGGGTTTAGCTAGGGAAGGTTCAGGACATGCAACAAACCCTAAACCCTAAACCCTAAACCGTTGCATATTTGCCCAAATCTTCGTCTTCACGTTTGTCGGCCCTATGGCTGCGCCTGAAGATTTGGGGCCCAAAGCACGCACCGCAAAGGCCCTGAGATAGAGGCCTTAAGCAAGATGGAATAAGGCTTGAGGGCGTAAGATTTAGGGCTTAGGATTGAGGGCATGCTATACTGTAATCATAAAAAGGAGCCCTGAGGAATAAGATTGCTAATTATAGTTAGGCCTCTACAGCAAACCCGAGGTGTCCTGCAGGCTGTTCTGCGGCCAAGCAATGCGCTCGACGACCACGAAGCCCGGCGCATCTGCATTCAGGAGGGCCTGTGTGCCTCTGCTCATCAGTGTTTAGCGCTTGTAGTCGGGTTTAGGATGTAGGGTTTAAGAGTTCGTAACGTGTTTTTAAGGGTTGCTTACCGTCAAGGTCACCTGTACCTATACAGCATGTGATTTGACCCTAAAGTACCGATATAAGAGCCGAATTGAAGCAAAAGCTCATATAATAAGGCTCAGGGTTTGGGGCTTGCAGATGTCACATGGAGAACAAATGCCAACACCTGCATGCCGGCCCAAGCCAAAGCATGCTACACCGCGTATGTACTTGGCCATACTTGGCCTGCCTATACTGCTAGTATCAACCTGCAACACAGTTTTGACAAACCAACGCAAAAGCAAACCGTGTTGGATGAGATTGGAATTGAAGACGATTACGACATAGGACCGGGGGGAGTTTCGTGTTGCCGTGATTTCCCTGCGGTCTGCTGCAAGCAGCACCAGATCCGACTGGAAGCTTGGCTTCGTGGCTGTTTTAGGGTTAGGGTTTAGGGTTTGGGGTTTCGGGTTTAGGGTTTGATGCTTGGCTCATCCAGATTAGGAGCGGCGCACTTGCCTCAAACCTTGCTCCAGCTTGTGACAGACGGAGTTGCAGGTAAGGCTGCAGGGCTATTCAAAAATAAGCCGGTTACGGTCATGACGCTGGACCAAATCCTGCATCACCTACAAATTCCCGTAGTTTGAAGTCCTTGTGGTAGTGCGGGATTCTGCCCATCGACCGTTATGACCATGGTTCCCGGAGCGTCCATGAAGAATTCAGAGCGTCGTGGTTGAGTTCAAAAACCTAAATCAGAATTAAAAACGAAAACCTTGAACCCTTAAGCCTGAAACCTAGAAGCCCCAAACCCTTAAAACCCTAAGCCCTAAACCCCAAACTCCTTAAACCCCTAAACCCCTAAAAACCCTACGCCCTAAACCCCAAACTTCTCAAACCCCTTAACCTAAAACCCCAAACCCCAAAACCCCAAACTCCTCAAACCCCTAAACCCTTTAAACCCCTAAGCCCGAACTAAACCCCAAACCCTTTATATAAACCCCTAACCCCTAAACCCTTAAACCCCTCAACCCTTTAAACCCAAAAACCCCTAAACCCCTAACCCCTTAAACCCCCAAATCGGAAGCTCCAAAGGGTGCTGGGTCCAGGGCTTTAAAGTTGATTTGTGCCTGAGGGTTTTTTTCACGTGCTCACATCGTAGACCTGGAAAACAAAATAGGACATATGTAAGGAAGTCGAACAAAGCAACCTCTCAAGACAGGTTTTAGACGGTCCGGGTCTGCTTTGACCTTAAAGTACTCCTTATGAAGCTACTTTAGGCCCAAAGTCTATACTATATGGGTACATGGACCCTTAGGGATAGAGTGTCGAAGCCGAAGAACGGCTTGCGTGGTGGACCTGAACCCTTCAGAAATGCGGTGGCCCGAGGGGCTTTTTGGGTTTTAGGGCTTGGGGTTTAGGGTTTAGGGTTTAGGGTCATGTGGGTTGGATCACAACCAAGTCCCATAGTCATGCTTGACAGCCTCAGGCAGGCCCTGTCACCCCTGCAACCAGGCCCAAGTTCACCTATACTGTGAGAAAGAAGATGACAACTAATTATGGAACGAGCTGCAACGCCGTGCAGCTCGTGACCAATCTCGAACAAACTCACCTGCAAAGGGCAAGCCTAGCTTGCCTGATCAGGCTTCTGGCGCTGCTTATTGCTTGCGGTGGCTGTAGACTTGCGCATATCTGCTGAATGTCTTCAGTGTTGCCACACATCGCGAAGCATCCGCAAAAGAATCCCAACTTGACTTGGGGCACTTAGTTCCCTACTATGTCGACTGCCAGACTGGAATTTTGAAACTATGTATCGCAGCAATGTAGGAACTATAGGGGAATGCTGTCGCAATTTACCGACCTCCTGAACCTGCGAAAATGCGACTGCCTCTCCGACTCAATTACGTGTTCTGCGATTTTGTGCTACAGCAGTCAGGTTCCTAGACCACCCGCCTCGAAGCCGGTGCTGCTACAAGCGATTCAAGGTACAAGTATGTGCATGCGTGTGTGTGTGTGT